GGCAACGAGTGAAGTGTCTTGCTCAAGGACACAACGACCGAGACTGTCCAAGCTGGGGCTCAAACCGGCAACCTTCCGATTACAAGGCGAACTCCCAACTCTTGAGCCATGATTGCCCCCGATTAGAACATTTACATAACAAACAAAAAGCTTTCCCTCATGTCAACTAAAAGAGACCAGAGCGAAAAATCAACAGTCATGATGGTCAAAATGCCCACAAAACAGCTCTTTTTTTGTGTTTTATAATAATAAACTGCTTATCTGGCAGAGTTTTTGATTAGCAGAGACATTGTTACCTCTCACCTCCAGACTGAAAATGTTTGCCCTGATACTAAGCTGAAGTTATAATCGTGGCTACAGTGTTTCTTGAGTCTGCATGTGTGTGTACATGTGGCACACTTGTGAATCTTCCGTTTTAGCTGGACGGCTGGCTCATATCAACATGCATGCTGTTGTTGTCTCCAATGATGGTGTAGCTGACGTGGGAGCTGTGGATGCTGACACTCAGATGCTCTTCTGATGGAGGAAGTGGTGGCAAAGCAGCATCCTGTGCTGACTCCTGTTTCCCACCGTAGCAGCTAAACCTCATCTGACCTGTAACACAACTCAAATTAAAAGCTTGCACTTCACATGAGTGCAGTCGGCATAGCGTATTTTAAAGAGATGTTCAGCTGGCCAGGCTTTGCTGTTACACACCTTTCATGTGGCGCTCAGTTTCCTGCATGAGAGGCTGACACTCGGCCACTGTATGGGTGCCGTTTCCAATGACGCAGTCAATCAACGTGGAGTTGCTGATGTTGACGATCAGTATTGTTGACGGCGGACTCTGAAGGGCCATTGCTGTGTGATGGGGAAAGCAGGAGAAAAGGGAAGAGAAAATGAGAAGTTGTTGATCCATAGTGATGTCACAGTTTTAAGTTCCTGAATGTGCGGCGAACGTCAAAAGAAAAACTTCCATCACGCATACAATTAATATGTGTAATGAACCGCAATGCAGTACGCCTCCAGACTCGTGAAAAATAAGTAATGGAAAACATAAAGATGGGGAAAAGGGGAAGCAAAAGATTTTACCAAAAAAGATTTAAGGAAGCCAACGTTTTATTGAACATATAAAGTTAAAATGTTACCTTGAATGTTTTTATTCTCCTTGGGCTGATGAGTTTTAGCTGTAAAGGCAATAAGAGAGGGAAGGTTACTTTTTTATTAATGACACATTATCTTTCCAGCTTACATAGACAAACTGAAAGTTCATCGTGATTATAACGACAAAACACAAATAAACAGATGTATTCATGCAATTATAGTTATGTAAAGAATAAATGTAAAATCTACCTCCAATAAAGTCATTTTTGTTCGGTTTTGTTTTTGTTTTTTACCTGAGCAACATGTGACTTTTTCACACATCACAGGGTCAAAAGGCAGGCAGAGCAGCTGACAGGCCCTTATGCAGCTCTTCTGCACCGCTCTTTGCACCACTTGGATCACGGTGGCCACGGTGGAGGTTTTAGATGGCATCACCTGGAGGGAGGGGGCACAAAAAAATACATTAAAAAAATATGAGTATGGATGACATGACGTCTTTTAAAATGAAAACGTGTTTTTCTGCAGAGGCAACTGAGTGGGCGGTTTTTTCGTCTGCAAACCACATCCCACCCGGACAGGCCACCTGTGTATTATATCTAGGTCACGTGACGTCTTCCCTACAACAAGTCGATGAGAATTTTCTTTCTTCACGAACAAAACACGGAAACCGTGCTACATCCCAAAGAAGTTTTAAACTTAAGCAAAACTACTTTAAAAGTATTTCCCCCACATTACAAATAGTGAAATGAAATACATGGTATTCTACAATAGGACATGATAACTTAGAAGAGAGGCATACTCAGATTTCAGACATGACATCCCGCCCGTTATTGAAGCAGAAAGCTCTAAATAATCTCACCTGATTTAACAAGCTTCCTTCTTTCGTCTTTGCAAAGCTGTTGTTAATAAAAGGAGACAGTGGCAGAGGGTCAGTGCTATCCATCTTTCGCCAGTTTGTGATACTGTCCTTGTGAGACGCGCTCGTACTCACGCCGACTGATAAACCGTAGTTTGGGAAAAGCCCCTGCGCATGCGCACTTTAACTCGGGGTTTCCATGCAGTTAACTTCAGGTTCAGAGGGGTTTCTCTGTAATGTTTGTATTGCTGTGGACATTATTCTGTTACACTTTTGTGTTTTATGTGATTGTGATGAGACAGTAACATTAGAGATGCTGCTAAACACTAAGTTAAAGATTTCCTTCTTTATTTTCACGCAGATGCGACCTTCACTAAACCTCGGACTTTTTATTTTCCCCTTGAAATCCAAAACATGTCCTAATGATTTATTAACAAAAAAGACACGATCAAATCTAAATTACTTATATTTTGCACTGTAGCATCGAGGCCGATAGCATGAAATGATGCAACTTCGTGCAAGTAGGTTTTGGTTTGTGGTTAGCCTGCTGAGGCTGCTAGCAGGGTAGCCCAACAGAGAAATCTTTTCAATGTGTGAGTGAAATCTTTTTAAATGCGCACAATAAAGTCAGATATCAACCATTTGTTCTTCTAAATTATGGTATTACATGAAATAAGTATAGTTATAGATGTATATAAAGCAGATAAAGACTGTTAACAAGATAAACAATAACCGGTCATTCTCATGAGGTAATGGGGCATCCCCGCACACACATACTGTTTCAGTGGTGAGGCAAACTGTGGGCATCTACCGTAAGCTAATATGGCACACAGCAACAAAGACCCAGAAATTAGTGTAAAATCACAAATCAACTTTTAAAATGTTTTCTTGTAATGTATTAAAGCTTATTCTAGCCCCCATGTCCGATTATTATATAAGTAGCATTTACCTGTCGAAGCTGGGCGGGTTAGAGCAGATGTTTCACAAGGCATATGTCTGATTTCTAACCCCTTGAGAGTATAAAGCTACTATAAAAAGGAAATCTAATCATCATTGCCTTAAATATAAATCGATGCCTGCTACCCGTCATGTAACCTAACAATGACCACAAACCCCTTGTTTAGCTTTTGTCAGATAAACATGGCTCGTCATAAACTTGACCACAAAACTCTAAAATTGGTTATTGCATTACAAGTAAGATGATATCTTTCTTACATCTTTCTCCATTTCTGCACACCTGTATACATCCAGGACACAGACGGGCAAGGAAGATTACTGCAGGGGGCTGCAGTCCATCAGGAGGTTGCAATCTATCGGGACCAGAGATTGGCAGTAACGCGTTACAAGTAACACGTTAATGTAATCTGATTACTTTTTAGAGCAATAGAGCAACAGGACCGCTTAGTCTTTGACTTTATTTATTTTCTGCTGTGTTTTACTTGCATCTATTTGAAAGAGTGAGTGTAAACACAAAAAATATTTTATTTTATGTGCTGGAATGTGTAGAAAATAGGTTTAAATGTTAAACTAATTTATTCAACTCAGAGAATGTTGCATATAATTAAATTTTTGCTTGATGCATAAGTTAAAAGATTAAAACTGATAAAACAAGTTAAAAAAGAGACTTTTCCATTTGATTACATTTTGTATGATGGATTATGTAGAAAAAGTAGAATTGGGCTGAAAGCTCTATCGCTTTATCACCTATTCAGGTTGTAAATCGTGTTTTTAAAAAGTAACTAAGTAACTAAGTAATTAATTACTTTTGAAAATAAGTAATCAGTAAAGTAACGGGATTACTTTTTTGGGGAAGTAATCAGTAATTAGTTACTGATTACTTTTTCAAGTAACTTGACCAACACTGATCGGGACCAGTACCTCAGGGCACTGAGCAGTTGGAGTAACAATCTTAACAAACTAACAGGCCTAATAATAATGTCATAAAGACAAGAAAATGCAAACAAAAATGCGTTTATAACCAAAAATGATATTGTTACTTATTAAGCAAATAACAAACTGAAATAACTACAGTCCTTATTCACACATAATAATCGAAGAATATAATATTTTCTATAGCCTCCTTTGGCCTTGACAGCAGCTCGCATTCTTGCTGCCATTATTTTATGTACTTTTCACAAGTTTCTTTGCTTCCTTCTTTTGGATGAAACTTTTTTTGCGATCCATCTTTAAGACCACTAAATTCCAAATCTGTTCAATAGGATTTAAGTCCAGACTTTGACGTGCCCAATCCATCAGTTCCAGTACTCCAGATTCCGTTGAAGTATGCTTGGTGTCATTGGTTGGTGTACGACCCAATCAATTCCCTTATAGAAGGGTTTCCATGTTTCCAGAAACTTTCCAGAAATTTTCTGGATGGTAAATTTAAAAATAACAATTACATATGGATAACAACAATAATTATATGTTATCATTAAACATATTGTTCTGATTAAAGAGCATCTGCATACAGGTGGATTTTGTATGTATTGAGCACCATAATCTGTTTTTCATTTTTGTACCACTGTTTGCACCACAACGCCAAGGCAACAGAGGCCATTCTGATTTGTTTTATGAGGCTGTGGTTGCTAGGTGAACCAGAACCCTAGAGGAAGTTGTTGCACTGTGAACTAAGTGTTTTTCTGTCTGGGGGGCTAGAAGAGGTAAGGGTTTGTAGATATGCTGAATATTTATTCTAAGAGTAATCATTAAAACTGCATTTGTTTTCCTTTGTCTTTCTTTTTTAGCTAGAATTTGCTTCGTAAAGTCACAAGCTATGGCTCAGCTAGCTCGTGCACAAGTAGCTCCGAAAAATGTCCCAAAATGCAAATAGCCCCTTTACTCAAGTAATGCCCACATTTTAAGATTGTAAATTCTGATAGCCTGAGCTTGAATTGATGACATGAACTTGGCATAGTTATTTCTACTACAGACAACAACCGTGCCATCAAAAATTTATGCTGCAGGAATATCGTTTATGTCAAGCCTTCTTTTTGTTCCTGCGGGATCATTTCCGACAGTACTTGAAAGCAGCATGAGTTTATTGAAGCAGCCAGCAGGCGCAGTCGAGAGTCCAGATAAGTGGAGAGCAAAGAGCAGTGCTTCCTGGATGGGGACGAGAGGCAGGAGAACCGAAACTCAGACACAAGCAGAGAGCAGGACAGGAGAGAGCAGGAGGGTTAAACATGATTTAGATTTTCTTTAATCCCGCAACGCACTTGGAGGAGGCGGTATCGAGACGGCCGCAGTGGCATTAGGCGTTGACAGCAGGTTATTACAGCACCAGACTGTGTTATAACACATGTGTCTGTACCACAGTAACAAGAGCACTGCGGCTGTGGATCTGGACTCAGACTGCTTCTACGCCCAGTGGTCCACAGGGAAGGTAGGTTCCGCACCATTTGTACCTGTACTGTCCACCCTCAAAGCTGTTCATTAAGGTGGTATCATAGAAAAAAGCGTATGAAAAAAGCGCTCTGTGACCTGTGCTGGTCTACAACCTTGACACAGCTGCAGATGTCTCAGATTTCACGTGTGTGTTTGTGGTTGATCGCAGTGCAGAAAGACCAGATATCAGCAGTCTGGGAATATGCATGCACAAAGGCAGCCTTTAAATCATATCTGTACCGAGCACACTTGTGATTAACTGGTGTGCATTACCATCAAGGCTTACATTTTCCCACACTGTCATTTCCTTCTGCTATGTTTCAACTTTATGTGCCATTTTATTCTATGCACCCCCCACACCCACACACACCCCCACACAAACACAAACAAAAAAACCCAAAAAGACACACACACACACATGGTGTGATTGGAAACGTACAAATGATGCCATATAAATTCTACTACCCCAGTGCACACTCTCTGCTGTCTCCTTCCACAGAACAGTGACAGTCTGTGTGAAAGCAGCAGCAGCTTTTTACCAGGCAGATCTGGTTTTTCCGTTTCTGCCTCCCAGGTCAACAATGATGCTTTGATCCCCACCACCTCACCCCACTTCACCCTGCCCTCAATGTCTGGAATGCCATTTAGACCTTGATCCGTGAAGGGTTTTAATCGCTGAATGGCCAGCTTCCACACGGAAAAAGAAAGCAATTGCACACAAAAGCATTCTAATTAAGGAAGTGCTGCAACAGTGGAGATTCGAGGTTGAATGTGAGCTTTTGGATTACAATCAGAAAGGTTTTTTTGTGTGTTTTTTTGAAGGACAGTTCTGAAAGTGAAGGCTTTGGATTAAAGATTCCGGTTGTTAGGACTTTGCATTGATACTTATTTAAATTTAGGTGCAAAGTAATCATTTGTTCCACCTTACACTCGCTGTGTGTGCAGCACTGAAAACATCACAATTACTTTTTATCCATGATCTGAAAGGCAGACGACAATCACAAATGTGATTTATCAAATTTTCTAAGATATGAAGCCTTCCGCCTGTGTGATATGTTGACTGAAAGTTACCCAGGTAATCTTAAATTCTAAACTTTGAAGTTGCTTCGGGATGAAGGCTTCACTTTGTTAATAATGCTGGAGTTTCCATGAAGCAAGGCTAGCAGGCACGAAAGCTGTAATTTCCCATGCGAAACCACAGGGGTGGTTATGCTCAGGCAGGACAGGACAGGCTGACGGCATTGTGGGACGATGACTGCAGCCGGCTCAGCACGTCTGCCTGAAAGTAATGCAGGAGAGCAGACTATGACTGTGCAAAAATAACAACGTGCACAGAGCTCAGCATGCCCAGCTATCGTGTGTGTTACCAGGGAATGATCATTAACACACTACAAAGGAGGACACCAGTGGCGGAGTTTGCTATATTGATTGAACGGCTCCAAAGTTTCCAGCCAACATTGATAGGCTGCTGAAGCAGAGAACATCATGTACAAGATCATGTGTGATTTCAGCAGCTGCTCAGGCTGCACAGTGTGTTTTTTAACGCCACAGTTTCCTGTGTGAGCCTGTTCTCTGTCCAACCACTGTTGTCCACGCGATTAATCTCAAATCCCAGATTATGGGGTTATTATTTCTCATGCTTTTTGGAACAGGGCTGAACCAAAAGGGATTTTTTGGAGGGTGACTTGAGTTTCCTTTAAGTTCAGACTAGAGTTTTACTCACCTTTATCTTGCTGTCCTAAAATAAGTCGTCCATAATTATTTTTATTTTTTTCATAAGCAAAGAAGGTTTGCATTGTGGCTTTGTAGATGGTAATATTTAGGTATTGGCTGGTTAGCCAGTTCACTAATTTGGTCCAGACTGAAATCACTGGGAATCTCACATGTCATTTAGACTAATAATAATGATGTGATAATACACACACTGAAAGGCATTTCAGAGAATAAAATACATATTTCCTAGTTTTGTTTTGTTTTGTTTTGTATTGGGGTTTTTTTTTGTCTTTCTCTCTTTGTTAGCTCAGAGAAAGCTCTCTCCCATTTGTGGCAGTGGGCGCTACAGAGGGTGTCACCATAAACGCAAAAACAAGGTCACCATGCTGCTCCTACAAAGCCCGATTCAGAGGTTCAGCTTCAACTAAATACTGAAGCAAAGACGACGTGAAGCATCACCATTCTCCATCCATCCATCCATTCGCTTCCGCTTATCCTTTTTCAGGGTCGCGACAAGCGTGTGGGGCATCACCATTCTGTCTCGGCTAATTGCTTTTAATACTTTTTAAACTTAACTACAGTTCAGAGTGTTCAAAACCACCTTTCCCCTGATGTAATTTAGTCTCTTGAGGCATTATGTTCACAAAATCCCAACCTATAATTACACAAGACTTTGCCGTGTTTCTGTAAAGTGGACGTGACAGTCAGTAGCCAGTTCTTCCTGTCAGGATAAATGAAGCGCTGCTCAATAACTGCGGGCTTAGTAAACACACACCTTGGACTCTGGACTTGAAAATGGCAAGAATATATGGAGACACAACAAAGGATAATGAGGCTGTTTTCATATTACTGTAGCAATAACACATACTGTAACTCAAATTTGCTTCGTACATCACGCAGCTTTAAGCTGTGAGTAATCGTCACTCCTTTAACAAAACAATCACAGGGCATTGCTGCAGGCATAGCTGAAATCATCAGAGTTGCTACATCAGTTATCAGAATGGGATGGCGGTTTTTAGAAAGAGGGTGCAGTGTTGTCTGACAGGGAAGGGAAAGCAAAGAGTTACACCCATACTGAATAGACAAATAGATTAGTGCTGTTTCTGCTTTTTAGGAACATGGAGGCCATGGCTGCTCTCCGTTCCCAGCAGAAAGGCTAAGAGAGGCTTGATTCGTCCATCCTCGTGACTTCTTTTCCTGCCGGCCGGCCTCGCCTCGTCATGGCCAGCGGGAGTCCCACCGTGAGCCGGGAAGCCCGGGAGTCAGCTCCGGAGACGCCCGAGGCTGCCGCCAACCTGCAGGTGTTCTGCAAACTGTGCCTCAGCGAGCAGCCATCGACAGCCACCACAGGACTGCAGAGCTGCAAGTGCATCTACTGCACAGCGGTAGGTACAGATGATGCATTCAGGTTTTTTCAGGAGCTGCTTCTCATTGTGTCCAGGTCTTCATTTGAGTCAGTGACTCAGAGTGCATGTGTCAAGATATATAAATATATTTATTTCATTTCTCATGCGTTTAATCATTTCCTGCAGGTGCTGAAAATTTCAGGACAGTGATCCAAAACCAGCTTTTTACAATTTGGGCAATTTAGGCAAATGTCCGGCGTTTAAATTACTTGGAATGATATTTTTTTTTTAATTTTTTTTTTATTATTACAACACCACTTCCTCCTTTATGACCTTATACAGTAATAGATCCTTTTATAGGCAAATCTATCACACTTCCATTCCAGTAAAATTATGCTGATTTCAACACAGGGCTGTCTGTCTTTCACATTTACCGTCTTTGAATTGTCCATGGAATTTTTTTTTCTCATGTGCTTTATCGCTTCGCTCTTTGTTTTTAAACTCACAAACTTATCCTGAGTTTCAGTTTCACTCCTTCATGTGAGATGATGAGAAGCGCTATCTTTAGATAACAGAGCTGTAATATTTATAACAGGAGTGCAAAGGTCCGCTGCTGCACTGTTCTGGTCTCAAGCGTGCCTGCCTGCATATCAAAACGGAGCCAGATAGTGGCAGGTGTTAATCTCTTTCCAAGCTCGCTGCATTTGTCAGAGCGGCACGCACAAGGTCGCACAGATAAACCTCACGTACATGCGCAGGGTACGACACAGCAAGGGAAATTGATACCGAAACACGTACTTATCTTTAGTATAAAAATGTGAACCATCTCCTTCTGTCTGCTTAAAGAGCACACCGTGTTCCTGGTGTTGTTCCAGCTCTGTTTGTGTGATCAGTGCTTCATGCTGTGTTAGGGCTGTATTCACACAGGAAGCACAGGTTTGTGCTCATGCAAAAGTTTTTCTTCTTTAAAGAATTTTTTAACTTTAATTTTTGAAAACAGCACTGCTTTTATGAACAGTGCTTCCACAGTTTCTCCTGCCTTACTCAATGTCATGGCTTGGGCAACACATGACTTTTGACTTTGTGAGCACTCGTGAGGAAGCTCTCTATCTGTGACATTTCAGCTGCCCGGTTTAACCCAACATCTTCCTTTCATTTCGTCCTGAGTAACATTGTGGCTCTCTGAGCTCCTGCGCTTGTTTCAGATAAAATGCTGCTGGCGAGCATATGACAGTTCTCCCTGTCTGATTAAACGTCCAGTCTAATGCCCTATTGTCCTTCTTCCCTCTCCAGTGTTTGCAGCAGTATGTTCAGCTAGCCATAATGGAGGGTGGGGGGGCACCAATCACCTGCCCCGACATGGCGTGCCGAAAGACTGGAGTGCTGCTGGACTCAGAGGTACGGCCTGTGCAACAATGCACATAGCAGAAAAAATGATGAGAGGAGATAAAATGCAAACATGATCAGTGATCTGCGTTTTTGTTGTTGCACATTCCTCGAATGTCCCAGGTTGGTGGTTCAACCGGTTTGGTTTCAGACATAAAGGCCATTGCCGTACTTCTCAAGAAATAGGAAGCTGGACTTTCACGCTTGTCTTTTTACAGTGTGTAAATTGTGTAAATACTGCACATCCACCCTTAATCACAGTTCTGAAGAAACTAGTTTTGGTTTCAGGGGTGAATCGCTATAAATGAAATGACGTCAGATGGAAACATTAAAACAATACATAGTAAACGTTTCAGTGGGGAGGCTGAAAATGCTGACTCAAAACCACATGAAAAGTGCCCCTTCCTTAATCTTCTGCTAATCAGAATACAACTTTATTAAGACTCTTGTGCTAGGAAGTCCATCCTTTAGTAGTGTTTTTCTGGAAAATACTGCAAAGTGTGTCATTTTTAACAGCTTATGAGTTTTAGAAAATAATGCTGCAAATTGCAGATGACTTGAAGCGTCAGATTGTCAACTATGATGGTAAACAACCTCATTTTTATCTAGAGCACCATGAAAGATTTTGGTTTTGAACATGTTATCACAAGCTTCAGGAAGTCTAGTATCCAAAGTGCTGTTTTTTCCACATCTCTGAAATCTGCATCATAAAATCTGAGTCAGTAAAACAATTGAAGTACCTCTGTGTGATTGCAGATAGCTGCTTTGGCAGCAGCAGGTCAGGTGGAGCTGTATCTGCGTCTCAAGTTTGAGAGAGGTAAGCACTGTTGTGTTTACATGCTATTGTCTGATGACAGGCAGGTCACACAAACAGTCCCAGCCAGTATTTATCTTAACATGCCTGGCATATTGTGAGGCTTTTTTTGTGTTCTGTTTAATTCTGGTACAGTTTTAGCCTAGAGGTTACTTAAATTCTAGCTATCAAACAATAAAGGGGTTACTACTATAAAACACCCATGTTAATAATCTGTTAATCTGAAGAAAAGAGATTCTCAGTGGAGATAAATTGTGTACTACTGGTTAGGTAAATGTTGTGAAGGCAAACAGCACCTCTGTGGGAAACACTGTTGACATTTATAAGCTGCAAACAAAGGGGTAGTTTGCTGTGCAGCTATATTGACATTTTCTATTTGCACAGCAATAATACACTCCAAATCCAATAACAGTTATTGTTTACTCCGTCCATAAATCATAAAACTCGTGTTATTGTAAGAACAAAAAAGTGCAAAGTGCAGTCGGTCTTACTACAGTTGTCCCTTTTGTTATGATTCATAGTGAAAGCATGTGCTGGGAGTGTAAAGGGTTTGAGTCAGCTCACAGTGATTGCTTTTGTTTTGTCTGCGACACGTCACGCTCATTTTCTTCAGAAAGGGAAAATCCCATTCTTCACAACTCCTCAAAAGCCTGTAGGAAAACTGTTGATCTTCAGAAATAACCAATCAAGTGCATGCCTTTGTTAGATAGAATTATATGTTAAAGGTGAAAACGTTTGTTTGATGTTGCTTGATGATGATGGAAAAAATATTTTGTAATGATAAAAATTATTCGATAATTAGCAACGATTACTTAATAACTGCTTCATAATTGTGGCGAAAACATCTAATAAAGGTAAAAGTAGCTGATCGTCACAATAAATAATACTTGATAATGGTGGGAAAAGGTAAATAATCCTGCGCAAAACAATTTGATAACAGTGGAAAAATCTGTTTATTCATGATGACTCACTCTCGTTGGCTTTTTACCCCTCAGCCTTAAAAAAGACTGATGGGATGTTGTATTTTATTTTGAAATTGATACCACAGGTGTATATTCTAGGAGGCTGGTACTATTGGCCACCACAGGTATTTTAAAATAATATGTTTTTTCTATGCGAGTTTGTCACAGTTTGTTTTATTTAATTAGTGCTTCTGCTCCTTTAAAAAAAGTTTACAGTGAATAATAACGATCGTCCTCTAGCTGTGATCTTTGATCTGAGCCACTCCAAAAATGTTCTGACCACTGGAGCTTTTGATTATCTTTTTTTTAACTCTGCTTCCTGGCATTTGGCTTTAATGAGAGTGATACTGAAAGAAAGAGTTAAATTACAAAATCTTGACTATGTGCCTCATCCGTTCTTTTCCTCTCCACAGGAGTGAAGCTTGACCCCAGTAAAGCCTGGTGCCCGGTGCTTGAATGTCAGGCTGTGTGTAATGTGGAGCAGAGCACCGAAGGCCACCCCGCCGCTGTGCCCTGCCCGACCTGTCACACCGTCTTCTGCTCCGGCTGCAGAGGGCCCTGGCAGGATGGCCACGCTTGCCCCGAGCGGCAGGCCATGATGACGCCTTCTCATCAAAGCAGGTCAGTAAAGCCAGCCTCTTGGTCCGCTGCCCACCGCCTGCAGCCACAGAGCTGCACTTTGGAAATGATACTGGGCTAAAAGCTGGAGGAGGGTATTAGGTCAGGACACTGAGATAGACTTGCTGTAACCAAACTGGTGAGCAATGCATGATTGCACAAATCAGTTGCCATGCATGTGATGAAATGACAGAGGCAGATGAATTTTTCTCTGACATTACGTGGATTACATTTATTTTCAATTGTGGTGTTTTACACCATGAGGAAAATCCCAGACTTTCCTTTGACATAAAAGACCTAACTTTCACCGGTGTAGGATGTTCACAGCACACTGAATGAATCACATAAGTGATGGGTAGCTCCTCATCTCTCTGTAGAAACCCTTTGCTCTATAAAAACATTATTTCAGGATTAATAACTTAGTGTGCCTCAGGAGCGTCCCAGTTGAGCAGGGACATTACTGCGCTGCGCTGAGCTGTGACTCTGCCAGACTGACTGATGTCACTGGGGAGTCACTGAGTTATATCGGAATTCCATTGTCTCTGTGCCAAACAGAGGAGGAGGAGGATGGGCACCGATCCAATTATACCTCACTGTACAGCAGTGAAGTGATGATCCCTGCGCTGGGGATGAGAAAGATGAGTTAAAATCCACTTTTGAGTCAAATGTGGCAGCATAATATCTGGGGGGTTTTCAGCCTGCAGAGGCTTTCAGTAGTTTTTACATTTGCATTTTATCTTATATCTTATAGTTTTATTTCCCAAAACAATGCTCAATTTCCTCTTTTAAAACAAGGAACTGCTCTCTGTCTCCTGCTGACTTTGTGTTTTTTGAGCAGATTTGTTGTTTGTGTTTTTTGCAGTATTATTTTCTGACATCACATGAGCTGCGATAGCTTCTGCTATCTCGTATTAATCAAAAACAGGGTTTTTTGAGGGCTGCATGACATCTAGAATGAGAGAGATGTTACCTTTAGCGCGTTTAAAGAAACGGCCTTGAGAAATATGTATTTGTAAACTCTTAACCACAACTTCAAGACTCTGCTTCCCACTTTACATTGAATAACAACCCTTCACCTTTGCCTCTAAATAAAGATTGCACGCACTGCCTGGAGGCCCTCGCGTCATTAACGGCATTCCTCGTGTGTGCCTTTGTTCCAATTCACAGGACACGCTCAGACAGTGACTCTGACATGCCCATCAAGCAGTGTCCTATGTGTGGTATCTACATCGAGAGAAACCAAGGCTGTGCACAGATGCTGTGTAAAAGCTGCAAACACACCTTCTGCTGGTACTGTCTGCAGAATCTGGATGTAAGTCTCCCCTACTAACTAAACAATAGCTGTGATGCATTTTTCTTTTTTTCTTACTTTTTTTCCAAATTCAAATGGAATATTTCCTTTGCTGCATAGTCACCTGTTCACGTCTTTGCATGCATGTGTATGTTGTGTTTAAATGCAGGGTGATATCTTTTTGAGACATTATGATAAGGGGCCATGCAGAAACAAGCTGGGACACTCCAGGGCCTCGGTTATGTGGAACAGAACGCAGGTGAGCCCAGTTGTAAGGCACCAGTGCGTGGCATTTTGTGATGTTGTTATTGTCTGAATGGATTAGACCACAGAACCACCTGGTTGTTGTATACAGGGACTGGATTTGAGTCAAATCATACCAGCACATAACCTGGATTTTGGACTTCAACCCAGCTCTCAATCACCATCAGACATGGGACATAATTACTGTCTTTCAGTTTATCAGCTGCTTGGTTTATTACTATATATCACTTTAAGAATATTAAAGCCTCACATAGTTTGCTGTTTACGACTTCTTGTTTTCCCACAGTTCATTGAAGAAATCCTTTAAACTCAGCAAATCCCTAAGCTAATCTCAAATTCCTGGCCCATAACGACACCAACTATGCAACAAAAAGATTACAACTGCCCACCAGACCTACTTTCCTTCTGCTTTCTCCTCCTCTAATGCCATTATCACATGATAAGTTTGCTTGGGATCTCCAGATTGCGTCTCAGTGTGTACAAGTATGTGAAGAGCTGAAGTACAGCAGCGAAGTTGTTTCGTGCAAAACAACTCATTATAGAGCTGGTTACACCCTTGCCTAACAGGTCCTCTAAGTATGTTCACCTTAAATTATTTTTCCACCGCTGCATTTAAGTACTTGAGTCTGTTAGATTTAACCTGCGATGTTTTTTGCCGACCCTTAGTGTAACTACATATCCAAAACAATGTTGACATCGGTATATGACATGTATCTGTGGTTATTTAACATGTCACATCCACTACCACAGCTATTACTGTCTGCCCTGCTACGGCAGCATACAGTCATCCAAAGAATTATTGAGGTAAGCTGCTGAGGTTGACTGATAAAGATTGAGTCACAGTTTGGCATTCCTGTTCATCTCAAATGTGCTGTATCTGATTAAGTGGAGGCCATGCCTTTTCACTCCAAAACATGTCTCCACGGACCTCAGCTTGTGCATGGGAGTGTTGTCAAAGGGAAACAGAAAACCAGGAAGTCCACGAAGATATGTACATATATATGTGTGCCTTATTTGTTTACACATACAGGGATTATTCATATAATGGTATGTGTATCAAGTTTACTGAATGAATGATTTAACAATTTAACATGAATAAAGTCTGTCAGGTTTTAACAGTTACAGTAATTTAAAACTACAGACTGTATATAAAAGAGGAACTTTGTTAAAACAACATCATTCATTTATTTCAGGCTTCACACTTTGAAACTTCAGCGTTGCATTTTAGCCGCCACCAGGTTGGTTTTATGGGGTCAAAAGTGAACTTAATGTGAATTAACGAGTGTTACGTTATCGGGCAAAGTTAGCAAGCTTAGTTAGCAAAATACACTCATAAGCCACACAGCAAGCCCTAGTATTCGAAAAGCAACTGAGTTCTTTAGTCGCTTTTCTTGACAGTTGAAGTCCTGGTTCTGTCTTGCTGGTAAATGTAAGTTCACTTTCTTTAATTTCATTTTTTTTAAGTCTCCATAGTTCCCAAAAGTTCAGTTGTGTTTACCAGCTGCCTGTTAATGTTTTCTGAATGTTTATTGCTGGGTAGGTGATGTAAAGAAGGTTTGCACCAGAACTGAATCTAAACAGAAAATGAAGACAGTAAAGTTACAAACTATAAAACCAAAACAGGAAACTGAACAACTTCTGTAGGGAGAGTCAGATGATGAATCTCTGATGCCATTATGACCAAGTCCTTTGACACAGTCATTTGACCCAGTGCTAATAAGAAGAGTAATTACAGTATTTATTGCTGTGTCTCTGCTCAGGTGGTGGGGATCCTGGTGGGAGTCAGTATCATTGTGCTGGTGACGTCACCTCTCCTCCTGCTGGCCTCGCCCTGCATCCTGTGCTGTGTTTGCAAGCCCTGCAAAGGGGACAAGAAGAAGAAGAACAAGAGCAAGAAGGACCTCAGCCAGTCAGACACCTCCACATCATAGCAGCTCCCTGCTTTCATCTGCCCGCACAGGATCACTCTGCTAACCTCATGAATGCCAAGGAAAGTTTAAGCGCTGCATGATGGGAATAAAAAACACTCATGAACTAATGGATTACCTTTTTTTTCTTTTTTTTTTTGGAAGCCCTCTAAGCGAGCGGGTTTTCTGGACTTTTACATTATGCCTCAGTGAGAGGGCTGCTCAAAAATCACTCTTGAATCACGAGAGTGCGTACTTTATATGGTGGGTGTGTAAATGTGAGGAGAATGAATGTAAGTCACTTGTCTAGCCAGTTTTCAGAGGCACAACAAGATAATTAGGAGACAGCAATAGGTGTGAATCTCCCTCGACAGGGCTGTCTTTTTCTCACCAACACACCTACACAAACACATACATGCAGTTTAAAGTGCAAAGCCACCCTCATGTGCCAAATGTCATGAAGCCAAACCAGAAGTGTTGGGCGCTCAAGTGCCTCGCTCTACAGTGCCTGGTGCTTGGTTCGATTTGCTTTGCCTTTCATTCTGTCTTATGCAAATAATTTTAGCGTTATGGAAATGGACAACCATCAGGATCCTGCATGGTTATAAACGCCGCAGTGATGCAAAACATTCTAAGGTGTTAGGAGAAGGCATCTGGAACCATGTGTGCACTGTATAATCTTTACTCATACGAAACACGATAAGGCTTCAATGGTGCACAGAGAGAACTCTTCTTCTGCAGATGCTTGTTGTTTCCACCTGGCGTATGTTCCAGACCAAAGGCTCTAAAGAGGACAGTGTGTACTTTTCTAAAGTGTGTTAATATATATTCATGGGGAATGTGTGTATGGTGTCATTTCTACATTTGTTTTGATGTTTCGGCATCAAATATTTTATAAAAGCGCCATTGTAAATGCAAAATAAACACGATGAACTGAACATGCATTGGACAGTGACTTTGACGTTTATCATTTCTAGCTCAAACAACCCAAGGTTTCCTAGCAGAACACTGCACTGTAAGATGGTTTAAGTTATTCGCTTGTCAGTTTAATGGTATAAGTGTGTACCATAAGAACTTTGACCCATTATCTGGTCTTTTTACATCGTTGATCTCTTGTAAATAGCATTATGTGGCTCTGCTCTTCAGCTGCTAAACATGCTGTGCATCTAGAGATGCTCTTCTGCTTCCTTTGGCTGCAACAACAAACGCAGATGCCTGATCAACCAGTCACATGGCAGCAACTTAATCCATGTAGTCATGTAGCCATTATCAAGACAACTTGCTGAATTCGAACTGAGCAACTGCTGGGATTTTCCTGAGAAACCGTTTTCAGGGTTTAGCCAAACTACTATTCTCTTAACAGTAACACAAATAACTACTTCTTACACCCAAGGTATGCTGAAGAGAGCATCTCTGAATAGACAACACATTGAACCTCGATAGGCTACAGCGGCTCACTAAAACTGGACAATAGAAGATTGAAAAAAACATTGCCTGGTCTCACGAGTCTCAATTTCTCCTGAGACATTCAGATGGTGGGGTCAGAATTCATATCACAAAGTGGACTTTTGATTGAACATAAGTAAGAATATCTGTGATTTCAACTTTGTACAATTGTAGTGTCACACACCAAAAGCAATGTCATGCAGTGTCAGGGGTTAAAAGACCACATGACTCGTGCAGTTAGAAACACAGTATATATTTCATATAAATGTAAATTCAAGAGGAAATGGATCAAAGTTGTAAATTAAGTTACCCACAAAAGCAAAGCTAGGAGCTAGGAGAAACAGCGACTGACTTGGAAGTAGGAGTCACGAATGTTGGAGTGGACAAAACCACTCCAACATCCATGGCACTCAAAATGAAGGTGAGTGTGAAGATCACAGGTCACCCCACTCTAACCTTAGATAGAAGAATTTGCTACAAAGACCCAACTAGAATTAGAAAACAGCACAGGGAGTAATAAAGTGAGTTTAGCGGCGTATAAATGTGCGGGCAGTTCAGGGTCGACCCAAAGACCGAGGTAAATGTAGCAGAGGCTAAACAGGTTACCTTCAAAGGGATTTCAGTGGCACCCTGTGTGTGAACAAGAAACTGCACTCAGTTCAGTCTGAGAAGCTAAGTGGGCATTTCAGGCAGAACATTTCCACGTCACAAGACCAACAAGAGATGTAGAAAGACAGTTTGCTGTTAATGTCATATGATTGGGGGGGGTCTGTGGTCAGAGGCGAACCCACAGAGAGGAGTCACTTGATGTTTTTGATTATTAGGCATAAACTGATGAGGAAACAATAGCATGGGGAAGGACATTTTTTTCACAAGATTAAAGCAAAGGCTGAGAAAGAAGAGCTACGGAGGATAGACAAAAGTCTAATGATGTCAAGACAGAGTTGGATCCATTTGATGTGGTGTCAGAGAAACCGAGCAGAAAGAAGGCAAATAATCATTTAAAAAGATTAGACTGCGTATATAAAGGAAATATGTTGGTCAGTCAGAGGCAAACAGTGGATCCTGAGAATAAAATTGATTGTTTAACATGAAAACCTGATTTTTCTCTTTAGTAGACAGATTTTCTTGTAAGTATAAAAACAACTTTTAGGACAGTCTGCAGACTTGATAAATGGATGTCTTTGTACGAAGCAGAGATGCTTTTTTGTTTTTCTATTTTTTGTCTGATTGACAAGTTGAGCGCACAGTAAGGAAAAACAGATGTAGTGTTTCTGGTGTTTATAAGAAGCAGGCCGTGGTGGCAGCATAACTTTATTGCTGACTGCAGCACACAGACACATGTGACCATTGCATTGCTTCTCTGCCGATTATTTTTTATTCCTCTAGTGTCCACTAGGTAGTGTAATTTTTCACACAAGACACAACATTCTTGTGAATATAACGACAGATTATATGACCATAAGATTATACCGACGCACTGACACACTTGCAACGACATTGCTACTTCATAAACTGTTATGCTGCACAAAACTTCATGGTATTGTATTGCAGAGTTCATTTCTCTTAATTAATCTTGAAAATTAATTAAACAGGAAAAGCAGCTGCTTGTTATTCCAGTACTTATTTGTGCACATGCAAGCTATAAATAAACACAAAGTGCTTTGCCTCAATTATCATCTGTCACAACTGCTGTAAACTGAGACTCATTCTTCTGCACTGCTGCTTTCTTTGTGTGATCATCTAAAGGCCCAAAACAAGCACCACTAGGAGGCAACAGCTCAGCAGGTAGATCGTTTGGTAAATGGTCTGTATAGCGCTTTTCTAGTCCCTAAGGGGGCCCAAAGTGCTTTACACAACCAGTCAACCACCCACTCACACACACATTCACACACTGGTGATGGCAACCACCCTGGGGCACACTGACAGAGGCGAGGCTGCCGGACACTGGCGCCACCGGGCCCTCTGAACACCACCAGTAGGCAACGGGTGACGTGTCTTGCCCAAGGACACAACGACCGAGACTGTCCAAGCTGGGGCTCAAACCAGCAAGCTTCCGATTACAAGGCGAACTCCCAACTCTTGAGCCATGATTGCCCCAATTTGTCCCATGATCGGAAGGTCCGGGGTTCAAATCTACCGAATGGCTACCCTGAGGTACCTGAGCAAGGTACTGTCCCTACACACACCGGGCGTTAGATTGGTGGCTGCCCACTCCTTAAATACAAAGAGTAAGTTAATAAACTATACAAAAAAGCACTTGTATTTCTGTCTGCTGCTACCATCAAGCATCACTCAGCAAAAAATAAAACAAATGAAAATCCATCAGGATTCTTCTAATATACTTCACTTTTGCCTTACAGTCAGTAACATTTTCTGCATCAGTTTTAAACAAACCAACTCTCAGATGTGTACAGAAAACCCCAGGTGCAAGTCGCTAACAAGTGCTTTATTAGCTCTGCCATACATAAGGCTACCAAATTTATACTAGCCCTGCCAGAAGCTAAGGCTACCAAATTTTAAACTATACCTTCACAGACAAAGGTGTCATAGTTTCTGTATCCTGCAGTAAACGGCGTTGTCAGGTACCAACAGGAGTTCCTGTCATTGTCCCACAATGAGCGCCCAAAAGACATCTTGCAGAGTCTTCTGTGAGGACTAAAAGTGGAGTTTAAACGTAAAGTTAAAGGAGCTGACTCGCTATGACTTTCCATTTCCATTCCTATGGAAGCTGATGCCTCATGTGGAGAATGCTGACTCCTAGTAGTTCCTGTCCACATTTCTCCTGGCTGAAGAGCTGAGCCCTGAAGTCGATGCTTAGAGACTTCTCGGGTTATTCATCAGCTCTCTATATTTTTTCACACCTATTTACCTGCTCAGGACAGCTCTCTTCCCTGTTCCTCTTTGTGGTGGTGCTGATGCCTGAGGTTGAGGGAGCAGCCTCTTCTAACCTCTGAGTGACTGAAGGTTCTTGGTGTAGAACATGTTGCCCATTATCCTTTACATGTTACATGTTGCAAGTAGAACAAGTACATGTGGAGCATCGACAAGATGGTCACAGCAATCTCATAACCCTGCCAAAAAATGTCTCATGCTAACTGTTGTATGAGAGAAGACCAAAATTAGATCTCTCATCCTCATTTAGTGAGTAATATCCAGAGTCCTCACTGAGCCAGACGTCATAATTTATGACTTCATTGTCCGCATCTCTTTCCATTACGTGATCTTACTCAAAATTGTCATCAAGGAGTGGAAGGATACCCTCAGGTTCAGCTTCGATCTGGACTTTTCCATCCTCAACCTCAGCATCTTACTCGTCGCCTGAAGAGATGTCGACTGATCAAGATCAATAATCCTGATGAATTCGATGAGGCTACCTTCTGCAGGATGATGTCGTTTCCTCAACCTGCAAGTAAACACACTCATCTGCTATTATTAGTTCGGGGATTTTCAATCATTGGCAAGTGCTAAAGCATGCCTAAATTTCATCAGAGTAATAGTAGGAATAAAACTACTGTAAACTTGTCTGTACAAACTTGTCTACTGATGACAGTATAGGTTACAACAAAAACAGGTTTAAATGTCCAGTTCTAGATGTTACAGTGCAGGCACGCAAAGGTGTTGCATGCTTCAGCAGCGCTGCTCGTCATTAATGTATAAAACTTTTGTAGCTGTCCCTGAAAGAA